CAGCATTATTCATGTAAGTTGCAGAGGGAAAGAGAATTATTCAGCTATGTCAGGAACTGAGAGGGACCACCAAATTGATGATGTTTCGATTAGCCAAGATTAAATAAATTTCTCTTTTCTTGGCTTTGCATCTATTTGCCTGTTCTCTTTGCCAAAAAGAAAATGTATTGCAGAATACAAGGAGGAATAAGTCTGAACCCACTGGGATATCAGCCCTCACACTACTGAGTCAGCATTTGCTTCTATTTCCAACAAGTCAACTAATATGAAGCCGTAGCAACAAATCAGAGAGATGATGGGATTTCCCCTATTTCCTCTAAGCTGGTGGGAAAGGAACTATTATTTTAATATAATAGCACAGAAAACAATACAGAAATTCAAATGAGAGGGTATTTGTCTTGTGGTTTCTTCTGTGCAAATTACAGCTGTCAAGCCCACTTAAATCAAATGCTATGAATATCACAAACCCTAAACAGTCCAGGAAACAACTGCAGGCCAGGAAGCTTAAGGTTTTATTCTCTGAATTCTGGTTGTCACTATGACCCTGCAACGTTCTTCTTTCGGAATGAGTTAGAAAACTATCATCCATCAGAATTAACTTTCCACTACTGTGAGCCAGACAAGTGAGTCAAGGAGTTTTGTATTTGTATCCTAAAATGCAATGAACCACACTGTAACTCCATGAGCCGATGGAGTTATCACTGAAAATGAGTATGGTGTTTGAGCAATGTAGAACAAGGTCTTATGCTTGAACTAAGGCTGCCCACACAGGCTGTAGAGTAAAAACATGATGATTTTAACAATGTGATTCCCTGTCTGCATTGTCCTGTTCTAGCACAGGAATGAGAGCAAGCATTTTTTTCCAACACATCTTATGCGACATTCAAAATAGAATAAAAATAAACAAGGAATGTTGTTCTTACTCTAGGAAAAGAAAAAGTCTAAATGGGAATTTATAATGATAAGATTCAAATATAAATTCCCACTCAAGTATAACCCATCTAATTATATTAATGAATCTTCCAGACCCTACTAGGCAGGTTCAGCGTAGGTATTAAATGGTCTGATTTGTTCAATCTCATTCCTCTACAACTTTTTCTTGCTTTTTCTTTTTTTTTTAATAATATAATACAGTTCACACACAATGGCCTGCTCCCAACAAGCAATTTTGTGCCATGTGCCCAGGATTACCTTTCTTTTAAGATACAGCTACATGAGAATAACTACACTTTTTCAGTTACTAGTAATGGAGGAGGTACCAAAGTGGTTCAGGGAAAATGAGCTAAGGAAGAGGAATAACAGCAGGGTAAATATAATTTTCTTCCCTTTATCTGCATTGGAGACTGATTTAAGCAGTGAGCTGCAAATGACGATTCAGCAGTTTCTATCTGAGTTCCTTTAAAACTCTGTGGGGAATATATTCTAGTCCTTCTAATTGCCATTATTAATTTATTAAGCTGTTCTAAAACCTCTTCTACTGCCTCTTCACTTTAATAAAGCTCTTCAAATAAATTATTGCAATAAAATTTTCTTATGTGGGAATCCCACTAAAATTCTCTGTAGTAAATGCAAAGTAAGGAAGTTGATTCAATGGGTTATTTTCCATGTGTTATCACTATCAAGTTTTATTTGATGAAAATGCTCTGTATCTGGAAATACAGATCAGCCACTTAGAGAATACTTGCTTCCTGCCCAAAAAATTGTACCCTCTCTTCTTTCCCTTGTCTTGTGGACGCATTTAAGGGCAGCTCTTTTATGTCAGCTCATACCATTCAAGGGACAGTCATTACGGTCCTGCAATGGCAGGACCAGCTCCAAAGTCTTGAAAATGTGCTTTGTACATACAACCCATGGGCTAGTGCGTTCTTTTTTACCTTAACAGTCCAGACAATGTTTAGTCAACATTTATGACCAGAAGGCTTTAAAGCTCCCTGCTCCTCACTATATGTGCTTAATCCTTTGCAGTACTGTGAATTTGGAAGGCTGTAAATTGAATCCTTTCATACATTTCCTCCTCTTTCCTCTGTTCACTGGACTTAATGACAATGATTCATGGATATAAAGCCACTAACACTGGCTAACACAAAACTGACATCCATGCTGTAAATTACCTTCTTGTAGGACCACAGTGACATTAAGCCAGTAATTTACTGAGCTTCCTAAGAATTCACTCCCATTCTCAAAGTATAGGCTTCCCTCTTTTTCTTCCCTTATAATTTCTTAACTTCAAATAACATTTTCGTAGTACCTACACATCTTTTCATCTATATAATGTACTGTCACATCCTCTCAAGTACTCATTACTGTGTTTCCAGGGTGATTGTATTGTCTTCAGTGGATCTCAATGGTTTTTTCAAGATTGCAAGCTATGCTCTAATTATAGTGAAAATATTGTCAAGGCCTGTCAACAAAGTCATCTGTAGCTATTTATAATCCATTATCATGGTAGCAAATCCTAAGCTTAGCAACTGTGGAAAGAATAAACTCTTCATATGGATTTGATTCCACTTTAAATTATATTGGTGTAAACTGTGAAATTGATTGGATTGACTGAAATTCTGGTGTGTGAAACCAAGGAATTTTATATTAAAATAAACGCCATTATAGCAGTTTATGCAACTAAGTATCTTTCTGGGTTACATGGATCAATTGTAGTGGGAGGCACTTAGAAGTGAGAATGACAGATCAATAAGGGATTCCTTTCTCTTCAGTAAAATCTAGCAAAACCAGATTTGAATTTCCATAAGACCCCATCATCAAAAATGCCTTGGATATACAACATTAAAAATGCCATTCTGAACCTATGATTAAACAGGTATGATATGAGTGAAGCTACTCAAAACAATAGATGTCAGAAAAGTAATTCCTTTCCAGCAGAATGAAAATAATGAGCTCATAAATATACCTCAGATGTAGCCAGTGCTTTAAGAGCAAGAAGCATAAATTGTACTCACAGGAGAGTTCAGACAGACAAGAAGCTATTCATTCTTTTCTAGGTAAAATTGAATGCCATGAAATACTGAGTTGTGGACATAAATTATTGAGTCTCCTCTTACTCCTGAAAAACTAACAAGACAAAAAGCGAAGTACTTAAGCCTAGTCAAATTTAAAACCATTTTTTTCATTTGCTGGCTTTGTATTTTTCTTGTTTTGAAGGGAAGTTAGTTTGCCATTCAGAGCTACTATTCTATATGTTCCATATGTTAATCTTTTTATGGATATAGTTCCATTCACAAAACCAGAATCCATTAAATTTATTAAAACACTTCACTCTTTGAGCAATGTCAGTAACACCCACAGCAACAACTGGTAATTGGCACTCACACAGATACTTCTTGCCAAATCCAGTTTTCTAGAATACAAACTTTGAGTTTGGCCATGCTATGTAATTTATCTGTGCTAAACATACTACACTCTCTGAAGACCACAATTGTTTACCTATCTGAAACTCAAAAATTGCATTTTGTGGGAATGTGACCCTAGAAATAGGCTATGAAGTGCCAGCAAAACAATTTTTTGAGTCTGCTACAGCCATTCATTCCACACTTTGGTAGCAAATTTTACCAGGAGTCACAAACACATAGAGCATACATACACATGTGTACATGTCTGTATAATTTTCATACACACACAAAGCACTCAGCTGCCAAACCTCAAAACTAGCACACAACACAACCAAAAATTTAAAACTCCAAAGTCGTTAATGCAACACACTGGGAAGACTAGGAGATGCAGTCCCACATGATATATATAAGTTTTCTTAGAGTTTTGTTGTCAGGTTTATTTCTTTATAATAAAAAAGTGTTTCCTTAACCTAAGCTATATCAAATTGGTATAGAACCAAGGTAACTCTGAAACAAACGCAAAGCATCTCTTGACAGGAAAGTCTTAAAAGTTCTTTCTTGACCTCCTCATGCCCCAAGATTTGTTAAATTTTGTTTTACCTTTATATTACTTACCAGGAAAAGGATGAATTTTAGTAGCAGATACAGTTCTACTTGCATGCCTGGAACCTTTTCTTCTTAGAACAGTAGAAACTGATGTTGCTACTCTGTGTTTATAATCTGCTTTAAACAAAATGTGTTAGCATCAGCCCTGATTAGAAGGAAAGCTTGTAAATCCCTTGTTACTAAACTGTTGAACATCTTGGAAAGTGTTCAAAAAATCAGGGAGGTGTTGGAGTAAGGTGATGAGAACAACCAAAGGCCAGATGATTTGAATTTTCCTGAAATTTTCTAAAAATTTCATTCAGGTTTGTCCCTTTCAAGTTATTCCTTGCCTTTTCTACACAAATTGAACAAATTTTGGAAGGATCTCAAGAAAAGTACATCTTTCAGTACAGGTTTCAGTACACTCTCGCTGCTGACAGTGGAGTAGCAAGGATGGAGTGCACTGGCATCCTAGGAAGCTGACAGATTCCTTACTAGTGTGAGGTGTTCATCTTGGAAAGCCGAGTCTAGAGCAAGCTCCACACCAGTGATAAAGCTAGAGCTGGATCAGGCACCTCTGGCTATTCCTCAGCACTCAGTTCATAAACTCTCAGTCTGTCCATCCTTCTGCTGCTCTCTACATGCTGTGCTCTCAGTGTGTTTATTGCAGACACTTGTTCAGCTGTTGTGGTAAGTCCTGTTCAGCAGTGACTGCAGTCCAGGACTCAGCCAGCTTCTGGTAACAGTCTCACTCCAATTCTAAGTAACAGAATTTATTTCTATCCTTTTCCTTTGAGAACACTAAAAATTCATTAAGTTAAAATTATTTAGGTCATGATTTTATTTTTATGAATAGCCAGTGGAGATCTAAAACGCTGAAGCCCCAAGCATACACTATAACAGTTAATGTCAAAGGAAGCTCTGGAAGTTCCTGAGACAAGAGTGGAAGGGAAAAGGCAAAACAACTAATTTTTAGGTTAGGGCCTTTGTCATGAACCTATTGTAACCTCCACCAAGTTTATTTGGATATTTTATTTTATACACTCATGAAAACAGCTTTATGATTCAGAGAGTCTCAGAATCTACCTAGCAGAATATTTTGCAAGGTCTCAAGAGGAAATGAATAATTCCACATTTCTTAATAGCTTTCAGTGGTGCTCAGAAATGAAAAGAAAAACTACTAACTGAATTATGGCTGGAAAAATTCGTAACAGCTGTTTTAGGAGCATAGTAATGTTCTGCTCTATTCTTTGAGCACCACTGAAAAAATGAGTGTACAGACTTGCAATGAAAGGTGACATCTGAATATATACACATAAACCTTAAGTTTTATTTTTATAATTATATTTTATATGCTTTTGTTTTTATCAGTAACATAATAATGCTGGTTATAATGTTATATATTACACATTTACTGATAAACCCACTTTTCCTTAATTAGCAGGAAATGTATCCTTGAAGCTAGCAAGTAATTAGAAGCCTCAAAAGGGCGTCTTTTCCTCCCTGTTTGTGTTCACGGTGATTCTGAAAACTTGAATTTAATAAAAAAGTGATGTTTAAGAATAAACGTACTAAATCATTAATCATCACTACTTACGGTTCTACATTAAAAATAGAATGTTAGGACTCATAGCATAGAAAAATCAGACACATGACATTTATAACTAGTTTTCAAATTATGCATAAAAGTCCGTTAAATTAGAGCACTTAATACCCCACTTATAAAATCCTAATTTATCCTTTGTGAGATTTTATGTACATGAAATAGGTCTCAGAAATTGGTTCTAGCAATAAGTAAAATATCATGCATTTTAAGCAACATAATCTAGTAAGGAGTTCCTTTCATTGGGGTGCAGAGGGTACAAACTTGACATCTCAAGCAATTATTTTGCTTATTCATTAAAATATATATGCTTAAAGTATTTACATGATGCAAAAAAATTACGGAAACATTTTGTGTGTGGGGACTATTCTTCCTTCAGTTCAATTATGATTAAAGCTAGATTGCTATTGCTCCTTCGATACAAAACTACCTGTGCATACAGTAAGGATGATCAGGGGAATGGATATGGCTTCTTATCGGTTTTACTACCCCTGTGCCCAGGGTCTTCTTTCAGCACCTCTGAACTGCAGGGGGAATGGACACCTGTCTGGGAATAATAACTAAATGCTGGTTTCCTGGACGCATTCTGTCCGCTCAGGGCTGATGCAAGCAGAATGTCCCTGGAAACTGCTGTGAAAAGCACCTAGGAGTTATTCCATCAGGTAACAGCTTAAGTAATAGTCTTTTCACAGTGATAAAAGGTAATGTCCTCCTGGTACCACCTACCTCTGACTTGGGAACAGAAACAAGGACGAGCAGCTGACAAGTGGTCAATTTTCTGCACTGCTTTTGTGCAGAGGACTTTATCTTGCTTGCTCAAAGGTCTCAAGTTCAGGGTACTCCCACAATTTAATTCCTGTTTTATTCATTGTATATTGCTACAGAAAATACTGTAAATCTGATTTCAGCCTGTATCCCAAGAGAAGAACTGTCTTGGCTGAAGGAATATTGTGGTAACAATAGCAAGTTCTCTCATAGTAAACTTCTAATCACTTGGAATAGTCAATAGTGATGGTTCAGAAATCACAGAAATGTTTTCTTTGCTGAAATAATAGCATAGAGATTAAATGTTATCTGGGCTTAATTCAGCTCTGGGCTTAAGAAGGCATACCTTGGTTGCCCTGCATGGGATTACACCACCAATGAATTTGAATAGCCAGTTTTTAGGACAGATAGATGAGTGCATATCACCTCATATCTATCCTGTAATTTTTCCTGACTGTCACCTAAATAAATCATCTTCAGGAAGGAAAGGATATTTCAATTCACTTATACTGATCATTGGCATTTCTGCTTAAAACCTTCCACAAAGTTTAACAGTAATTGTTCCATCTACTGAAATCAGTGTGAAACCAGAAGTTCATATCACTAAGCCACCAATCACCTATCAAAAACCCCACATTTAACTTGGATTTGCATCCACAATTTTTGCATCCACCAAAGAGGTAAGAGGTGATACTGTCATCATCTGAGTACTTTGATCAGTCTCTAAGAAGCTTTCATCATTTGACAATCAAAATATCAGTGTCTGAGCTACAGTAATAATTAACAGTTTTGTTGCTATAAATTAATATATTTTTACGTTTATAGAAGTTTAAATTCATGCAGATTAACTTTTCATTACTTACAGTTCTTTTTATTTTCTTGGACTATTTTGTAGATGACAACAGAAACAACAAATAAAAAAACCACTGGAATCATAGTGAGCCAAGTGATCTTCATCATACACATCGGATCTGTCCATAAAATGTACAATAGAGAAAATTAGGCAGCAAATTACTGGCAGGAGAGAAAAGCAGAACATTCTATCTTGGTAGGTTTTTTGATTGCTCCTATCCCAATAGATAAAAATAAAAAACAAAATAAAACAAAACAAAGAAGATATTATGCCTTTTTCTTTCAGGCTTCTTTGTTTTTTGATGTTAAGTTTCCTGTCTAGAATTTAGCTTAATTTTTGCCTGTATTTTTACATCTATATCTATATCTATATCTATATCTATATATCTATAATCTCCCCTTAATAGATACGAAATAGCTGAAATAGATACGGATGACTAAGTGAATGAAAACTTTTCAACTCAGCCAATGAAAATGCTTCAGAGATCAACATTTATATTTAAGGTAGAAGAAGGGTAATACATGTCCCCTTTGCTTAGATAGAGCATGGAAGGACTTGGTCCACTATCCAACACTGGCCTGTACTGGCATTCTTAATCTCCTGGTCCGTCTTCTTATATGAGAGAAGATAAGATTCTACATACAGAATTTTTTTTGTAAGAAAGTGAGGAAATGCCACCAAGAGGAGCCCTCTAGGGAATTGATTTAACTAAAGTTGCCTTGAGGGAGAATCACATGGGACTGGATACAGGAGGTAGGCTGCTCTTTCAGACATCGGCTGCTGCAGAAATGCACCCACATTCCACAGGGATTTAGTTCAATAACTAGTACAAGTTAGGACTATATATAACAAAGGAATTATGTGGAGAACTTCCCCCTGTGGTTGTTTGAATGGCCTTTCAAACTTCTTTGGCAGCTGCATGTTAATGCATACCTTAGAATTGTCAAATAACTGTCTTAAGAAACAGCTATGTTACTATAACTCATAAAAAACCAAATTACAGACTGTAGCCAAACCACTGTTTCCCTTTCCCTGACTTAGAACAGTATAATTAGACTTACTCCAACTTCCCTTGTATCTTCTCCATCAAGAGCTCATGAGGCAAATGCCAATAACCCCATGGGTCATTCCTCCTAATTTAAAATTAAAAATATATTTTATACAGGAATCTAGGCTCCTTTTAAATAGAGCACTCTACCCCGTTTTCTAGTGGCTTGTAATGACTTGATTATCAGCCTTGCTTGGTAAAAGCCCTGAGCACCTCTTTAGCTGTTTTGAAGTAAAGAGAAAAAAAAAGACATATTGTTAATTTTCGTTGCTAATATGAGATTACTACTACCCAGATAAATCAGTATTAGCAAAGGGTAATTAGCTCATAGCACTGACACAAGTTAGCAAGGCAAGTTACAAATTATGGTCCTCTAATGGCTAGACACACCTATTAAAAAAAATCCCAGACAAACAAAAAACCAAAACAATCCTAAGCTGCCCTTTTTTCTCTAGGATTTTCACTGAATTTAGTTAACATATATAAATCTAACTCTAAAAAACATATTTTTTCCAAAGGTACAACAAAAAATACATTTGCCATGCAAAACCAAATGAATGCAATAGTTCAGCAATTTCCAAATGACAAGTGTTGCATATAGACAGAATGGAAACCCTAACTATGGTCAGGGAATCAGACAAAAAGCTCTTGCAGCACAGAAAGAAATATAAAAAGGTAAGGTTTGTCCTCGGGGAAATCTAAGCTTTGTTCAGCTGACAATTTCTTTTAAGCCTACTTTAGTGAGGCTATATAGTAGGCTATTGCAGTACAGCATTAGATTGGTCAAACCTGTCTCCTGTTTCTTTTACCACAGTAGTTAACAGGGATTTTTAAATTTACCTCCAAGGCAACAGGGTTATGCCATTATCAGGAAAGGGAAAATTTTGTTTCCAGGTTTTGTCACATGTAGTGTGTGAGTCTGTTGCTGCTAAGCAAAATACAATGTACAGATCTTTACTTTGCTCTATTTCCTCTAGAAAAAAAAAGGGCACCATTAAACCTGCTTAAAATCAGTATAAAAGTCATCAGTTGCCTACTATGGATTGTTTTTTAATAAGGGATGTTCAAAACCATATTCTTTTCTTGTGAAATATTTAAATATTTTCAAATGGTTTCTGGAAGCAGAGAACTACCTACTTGAGATTTTTGCAAGATTATGTTGTTTCTAGTTTGATTTCCAGTCTGACTCTCTTTTGTAACTTACATTCCTTGGAAGACTTCAGCTGCAGTGAAATATTTATACAGTCATTTTGGTCTTCCATCATTGCCAAGAGACAAGAATGATTTAGCTGTTCGTCGGCTGCATTTCGTCCTCTGACTATAGAATTGTTGATGTGGATTTCCATCAAGTAGTTCGTATTATGCTCCACTTCTTTCTTGGAAACCGTTGTGAAATTAAAATATTTATAAAAATAAGTAACATTTTCTGTTTTCACTTCAAGCGAGCCTTTTGCTTTTGGAAATAAAAATTAAAACAAAACTGTTACACAAGTGGTAGACCAAGAAGCAACTCTCTAAAAGAACCGTCAATTCTCTGTCATATTTGCAAGAACATAAAGGTTTCTACATCACTGACGTTGAAAAAAAGGAGAAATGTATACTGTGCAAAGCTACGTTGAACCAAAGAGCAAGAAGAAGATCTGAAGATCTCAATAGCATTGTTTATCTTATATATCTTATATACATTTCCCTGCAAAGTATAACGCTTTTTTGCTTTACTGCCACCATTTTTGTCGTTGCTGTTTTTGTTGTCAGCTGTCAAAGGTAAAAATCAGGCTATGAGAAGGCTAGAACTCAGGCAAAAGCCACATGATAATAGAGATTTGAAGTGCACACATTGTCTATCTGCTCTCAGCTGCAGGAAATCCTTGCTTCACTTCAAACCACACAAGCTGTGAGACTTGTGCTATGTTTACAAGAAACAACTGAGACATTGTCAAAAGTGTTAGTTGTACAGGTATAACTGAGAACAGATGTTGTCCAGGTATAACTTCTTATTTTTCATACTTATTAAGACAGCTATTTTACAATAAGGAAAATACGTAGTTGGAAAAGAACTGAATTTCTTATATACAGGACTTGGCCTATTGCCCCTGTTGCTGACCATGTTAGAAAGAGATGTCCTCTTCCTCAAACTTTCCAGATATTTGCAAGTGTATATGCCACAGAAGGAATGTGCTGCTGCTGCTCTGAAAAGATGTGGGTGTTGCTACCTCTCCTCTGTATTCCTGTGCCATTCCTTAGTCAGTGCTGCTTTCTATAAAACAGGTAAGGCCATTTCTGATACTACACAGCTGTGGATAATGTAGACTACAAACACCAAAATGGTTATTTCTTACATAGTCGCCATCGCAATAGTTACCTACTGAATTAGTTCTTCAGATACTCGCTCACAACCTATCTTCATAATGCCAGCAATCTAAATGTAGAGCTCCACAATGACATTTAAAAGCAAATTCAGCTTGAAAAATTTTCAGAAAGTACAACATACATTAGTACTTTAGAAAGTACTCACTCCCAACATGTTTCAGTGACAACCAGAAATGAATGCCACTGAGAATTTGGCACAAAATCTGCATTTTCTAGCCATGCAAAGAAAAGCTAAACACTCCCATTGTTCATAGACTTGCAAAGACCATAGAGAACCAGGAGCATATAATTTTCTTCTAAATACCAAAAAAACCTTGTCTTTTATTTTTTAATTAGCTACTTCAAAATCAAGTATTTCTCTTAACCCACTTACTTTTTGTAGGTGTTGACCCTGATCCTTGATGATCAACATTCACATCCCTCTTGGATTCACACTCTGTCTGTTTAGGGTAGGACTGTTTTTCCCTCCAGGACAACTGGCGAATACATGGAATATTTTGGGAATTGAAATTATTTACAATGACCTTCAGCAAAGTAGTCTGGTTTTCTCTTCCTTGTTGCACTGATGTTTTGTAAGAATTGTTAAAAGTACAAAGTGGAAAAGTGGTGTTACTTGATGAGCAGGTATCCATGCATGACACTATTACAGTGTTAGCTGTAAAAGAAAGAGTGCATATTAGACAGACAGCCACGGAACACATGGATAAGTATGTGCATAGAAGCATCATGCAATGCATAGCCCAACTGTCTTATGATGAAATGCACTTGTGTTTTTTTTCTCGAGGGTTATGATAGGATGTTGAATGCATCATATGTAAGAGAAAGCAAGCACAGAGTCTTCCCACAACCTAGATGCTGGATTTTATTTGCTGAATTGAATTAAAACTCTTGTCACAGTAACTGGAATTTGTGATAGTATCTAGTCACATTCCTGTTTCAAAGTTGCTCTAATCTGACTGCTCTTCAAAAGAAGACAAAGCACATTTATGCTTCTTCAAAAGAAGAGAAAACTTGTTTGGAGAGGGAACTCAGCCTTGGAACAGTGCAGCTGAAACAGTCCAATGCAATTAGGTTGTAAAGTAGCTATAATCAAAATGAAAGCTTTCTTTCTAAATTACACTGAAACCACAGAGTGAAAATACACAGAAAAGCTGCTGAATCCTCCAGCCACACCCTTCACATTCTCTTATATTAAGTCAACAAACATGGATTTTAATTATGACCTTTGGGTTTGGTATTCATAGTCAAATTTCAGTTTCAAAGTACTGTAGCTAGAGTACATTAATGCAGTTCTGGCAAGCAGCAAAAATCACATAGTTATAAATTTGTGTGATTTGTCTTCCACATTACAGTAGAGCTTTATCATGCAAATCTTTACTTGTGTTAACTTTGAACTACATTTTCAGCATACAAAAAACAAGAATAAAAAAATGTGTGTGACCCCAACATGAAATATGTATTTATGAATAACCACTTCCCAGACCTAATGCAGCACTAACCTATAGTTTTATAGCTATGTTTCCAGTTCTAGTAGTACCCTTGCATCTCTATAAAGGGAAAATTTTGTATCTAACTCCCATTATGAGCAACTGGAGCAATATGATCATAAATCCTTATGTATAGAGAACAAAATATGGCCTTTAGTTGCTCCAGTGCACAGCTGCACTCTGATGGCTCCAACAGGACACCTGTGCTCACAGAGCAGCAGGTTGACCTCAGAAAAGGTTCAGTAAGAGATTCCAGACAGGAAAGAGAATAAAATCCAAGCTCCAATGTCAAAGCCAATTATCTTCCTTTTATTAACACTACATCAGAGAGTCATAAACTTCTTATAAAACATAATAAATTGAAATGTAAAACATACAGGTAAGAAAAAGTTCATTTTGATATAAAGAGGAAAAAATATCAGACAAAATTTAGGGCTTGATCTTTCCCTGAGGCCAGACTAAGAAGTTTCCTGGAAATGCTTACAATCTGACCCACAAAACAGGTCATGGAACAGACTTCTGAGATTAAATTCTTCCACCTGAAAGAGGCATTTTGTGTAGAACTTGTCTGTGGAGATGAATCAGTAGCAAAAACTGAATGCTTACTCTGCTCTCATGGCAAGCCATGGCAACTGGACAACCAGTCTAAAAGCACTGCTACACCTTTCAAGGGCAACTAATCGTAATTCCCTAACATATCCTTTTCACCAAGAAATCTGTACATGGACTTGGGAATCTGCTGACTGGACTGTGACAGACATCTATGCTCAGCACTGCAAAGTGCAAATTTTGCTTCACAAATGGTTAAACAGATTCCAGAGCTGCCTGTGAGCCACGTTGTAGGTGTGTAAAAGGCGTGTTATCTGAGTGGAAAAGCTGTGAATGTTGTCGAGTGAGGGAGGGTGCTTATCATTCCCTTGAAAGGTCTCTACTGAGAAAGCTGATCAAATGATGATCTAGCATAAACAAACTTCTTTTTTTCCATGTCACAGAACTGTGGCCTTTCTAAGGAGGGATATAGATTGTTGAACACTTGAAGAAGGACCACAACACTACACTTTCCCAATGGACTCCATGGCAGACAGAAAGCTATACCATACTCACTGCTCCTTACTGCAGGACTGGGGAGCACCCTCCCAAATGTAAACATCACTCTAGAAATGTGGAAAGGGTTTTGTGAAATCTGAACACGGGCCTGAATAGTAAACAAAGATTGCTGAGATGAAGCTATGCAAAGTAACTCTAGGAAACTGTTTTCTATTCGAAGTCCTGCAACCACATGCTTAATATTAAGAAGTTCTGTGACTATTAAATTCTTCTATAGAACCTCTATTTACAGGGTGATTTTTCATATAAAATCCAAATCTATTAAAATGAAATTATTTACAGGGAAGACCAAAGTTTGTAAAAAACGTGCTTCCCATTAAGAAAATCACAAATATTTCACTTCACATGGGCTTAACTCTTTTTCATTTGATCTGCAGTATTCTATTTTGAGTCAGAGCTGCAGCGTATACAGTTGCATTTTTTACACTTCCTTACGGAAGCTGTAGTCACCACATAATATTGTAGAGATGCAAGACCTACAGTACAAGCTGGGGAATACATAACTGATAGATTAAAGGAGATACACTCCATCAAATAGCAGGACTCAAGGGATAGGACTGGGATTGAAAGCATCAGGCCCCAAAAGGATAACCTCCTACTCTAAATCAGTGTAATTTAAAGGTTCAATGACTCGTAACCAAGCAAGTGGGCTGCTTTACAAATCGAAAGGAAACTTTTCACTTTTGGTAATGCTGAACTGTATTCTTTTGGAAAAATTGTAAGGGATTTTTTTTTTTTTTTTTTGCAAATTGATTTCCTGCAAAATTTTTGTTTAATGAGAAATTTCCATTTTTATTCCCTCTCCAGAATGAAAGTAAATGCTGGAACTTCCCCTGGGATAAGACATCCAGGAATAAGAAGCTTTCTGCCATTCATTTAGGAGCTCGTAGAGGAAAAGCCAGTGATTGTATTTCACATCTCAAAGATTTCCAACAACTCTGTCAGCTGAAGCCTTGTGGTGTAACCAGCAATTTAAAACATTTACAAAAAAGTCTGCATATTTTAGGTTTGTCACAAAATCTGAAATAAAACTAGTTTTCAACAGAGGGTTTTTGATGTACCGGAGACCCAAAATCCTTAGAGATTTTGAATTTTTCAACATATTTACTTTCTAAGGCTTTTCAGACATCATTACACAGTTTGTTATATAGTAATTTAGTTTTTAAAACATCCAAAATGCAGCAATAATTCTAATTTTCCAAATATAATATCTGTGCTGCTTCAACTATGATTCTGTTCTGCACATATACTTCACAATCTTATTTTAGACATGCTGTGATTAAGACAGAATTGCAGTGATCACACTATTGCAGCCTAAAGCATGGCCAACAAGAGCAATCTAGAAAAATTACCAGAGAAAAATGTAATTATTCCTTGATGTTTGACACTAAGGTTAATGTTTCCTTCTGGTGATAGTCCTGTAATTTTTTTATTTGCATAATCTGTGCTACAAATACTTTGTTTACTCCTGCATGGAGGTAAAACATTAATTATTCCAACGTCTTAAACTGAATTATGAATGTTATGATATTCAAACCTTATGACAGCTTACCATGTTTGTTCATTTATAAACTATAAAAATCTATACATTATATTCTAATTACTCATAAGTCCATTCTTTATGGTTAATGAAAAAAAAAAAAGTATCCTAATCTGGATATTTTGATACTGATTTTTTTCAGAAAATCATATGCTTTACAAAGAAATTATGTTATGATGCCTGAGAATACACTCTTTGTCAAAGGGATGCTTTTTATTATAATACTTATTTATTCAAAAGCTTTCTTAGGAATATTTTAACTATTGTTAAATGTTTAAACTATTTTAAAATTAATTTACTCATGGACTTTTAAATAAGCACTGAATGAGCAACTTGCTTGCATGCATAGTTTGCATTTATCCTAAATCCAGTATCAGCCTTTAGGGTCACAAAGAAGTATTTGGCATTTATACTATAAGATTTGCTTTACTCAGTTATATCTATTCTGCTCTACTTTTTGTCAGGTTATCACTGTGTATCTCTTTCACAGACAGCATCTCATTACCAGATAGTAATCATACAAAGTTTTACAGCATTTAAGTAGAAAAACTTCTAAAAAGTTGGTTTTGAAGACATGAGCCCCTGCTATGAAAGAACATAAGCACTTACACTACTTTCTTCATGATGAAGACAGTAAAAAACACATTTCTTATTTCCACAGTTGCATGGAAATAGTTACCAAAAATTTTGCATTCTATGTAAATGAATTACAAACTCGTTTCAAATTACCACATTCAATTAACTCCGTTGGTTAAAAATCTAGCAAAGAGTCTATATCCTTTGTAAATTCCACGTGTGCAGCATCCTAACAATTGCTTTTAGGAAAGCATGTGCCATCTTTTCAATTGCAGACTTCGGAATAAATAAAAGGTTATTTTAAAAGCTGATCACTCACCTTCATGGATTTTGAAAAATTCAGGTAAACACAAAATAAACACGGTAATTATTCCTAGTGCTAATCTGAAGACTACTGGGTTTCTCAAAAGCAAGCACATGTCACTGAAGCACTCCCATCTAGCATACTGATGGTAACTTCCTTCCTGGTTTGGCTTTTAAGTTAGTGCAGACATTATGCAAAATAACATCTATTCATTTCCTTTTCTTATTATGACTTTCCTTTTAACTTCTCACTACATTAATTTGCAGAAAGCCGCATTCTGTTCTTACATGGGCATAGATGAGGATGATTCACTTAAATATGCTTAAGATAAAATTCATGTACCACAATGACAATAAGAAGAAAAAAGCAATTATTTTATATGTTTGTGGTAGTTTTGCTTAAAGAACTCCTTAATAACCACTTTATGTACCTGCTAAACAGTAAATCAATTATCTTTGTAAAGGAATTTTATTCTCATTTGGCCAAGAAGATTTTTAAAAATTGAGTCAGGCCCTCATTATAAAAATGAGTCAGAACCACATGAGTCAGCTACAGGAATTTTATTGTTTTATTTATATACATTTGCATGGGGCTAGATGGAAGACAACGTTATGTAATAGAGAATCTTTCAGACTTTTATAGACTATTGATTTGATCATTACAATCTAAAGTTTTTGATATGTCAATCAGTGACACACTAAGTACAATGAACTGACGATGAGTTCATATTATCACTGCTGCTGTATTCATAAAAGATGACAGATGTGTTGCCAATCTGTCAAGTGTCTTCAGTTTGCATTTTACTATACTTTATAGCACAAGAAGACTGGATAGAGCCATTGCTATTTCTATACATCACAGTCACAATCTTTCAGCTAAACTTTCCAGTAAAAAAGTGAAGTATTTAATTTTGACAACCACCATGATATTCTATAAATTTTTCTTATAGATGAGACTGCAAAGAACATTTCTGAAATGTTCTGAATAAAAGTACTCTGAATAATGCATATATAAAAACAACTTGACTCAAATATAGAGTAATACAGTATAAAGAATTTCATTAATTCAGAAAGATGTCTTCTGAAGTATTTTTCCCCCAAGCCATTAAATATTGAGTACTACTCAAATTAAGTAATACTGTTGAAATAAAAATAGGATATGCCCTACAAACTCAAAATGCTCTTCTTGTCACTTAATTATCTCAGAAGATGAGTAAGGCAAGTGGAAGCAAATACAGTATTCATTCTATAGAAAGAGTTCTAATGAAGTTGTAGTGAATATACATTTATTAATATGATATTTTAAATGTAGCACTCTCATGCAATGAAAGCAATGAAATCAAAACAAAATGAACTCTGATATTTTGACAGTATTGTATAATAGAAGCAATAGGATACAAAGTATCATAGGTATGAGTTTAAAAGGAAAACATTACCCAATTTATATGTCATCCATTAGGAAATTAGCTGTACTTTGTTTTTGCTAATTTGCATTGCCCCTTAGGTATCTTCCATATTAGTTACTTATATTTTCCTGTTTTCAGTGTTTTATGGTGTTCACCCATCCTATCTGTCCAGAAGAAACTAAGAAAATACTGGAAAACAGCAGGAGGACTTTTCAAGTACTGTGTGTATCTGCCTCTTTCTGATACAGACTATCACCACTGATGGTAGTGTCCAAGGTCAGAATAGATATTGCCCTCCAGGATTCCACCCAAGCTCAGGCTGATACAGTATTAACCTGTGGAATATGTTCAACATCAGATTGTACAGAAGGCGGCTTCCAAGAACTCTGCAGTAAGCTGATGGGGGATATCTATTTTAGGCCTATTGTGATGGCAGATTTTAGTTTTATTTCTGAGTTCAGAGTACCCATGTATGATTTCTCTGCACATCCCTCAGGGCCACAATAAACTTTAGACACTGCTATCTTCTGGCAGTTCTCTGTGTGTGTTTGTGTGTTTGTTTGTGTGCATATGTGTGTGTTTGTGTGCTTGTTTGTGTGCATATGTGTGTATGTGTGTGTATGTGTGTGTGTGTGTGTGTGAACTCGCTGAATCAAGTGTGTGTGTGGCCTAGCCACACACCAACCTGGGAAACATGAGCTTTCTTTCTTGAGGAATATCTTCCCTCCACCTTGCTAGCAATTTTTATACAGCTGGAATAACTAGCATCTTTGAAACCCCCATCCTTCTGTCAAGTTTAGTTCAAGCGGGCTCAGTCATTTAATGCCAGCCGGGATGAGAACTGTCAGACATGTGAAGTGCACAGCCACACAGGCCGTGTTTCCGGGCAGAACAAGGCACAGCAAGCGCTGTATATCTCATTACTACATCAAACCTGCACCGCCACGCCTCAGCAATGGCCTCCTGCGTCCTTAAATCGGTTTGAGCGGTTGGAGGTGCATCTGACTGTCACACAGTCTATTAATTTGGAAAATTATTCAGCCTCTGGATGGCATCGGTCACTGCTAAGGCATTGCGTGATGAGTGCAGGAAAGGCCGCGTGTGTTTGTACATGAGGCGGTCAGGACCAGCTGCCTCAGCAAGGAGTACAGGGTCCTGAGAGGTGGCGAAAGGCTGCGGTACGTATTACCACAGATTTATTTCTCTTAAATGGGGCAGCGGGCAGCTACGGAAATGTTTGGCTTTGTGCTTTTGGAAGAAAAGCAAAAACACGCAGGGACAGGAAGAGGACACCGCCTCCGCTGTCGCTTCCCCTGCCCCGCCGCCAGGGGGCGCGCGGCGCGGGCGGTGCCGCAGCCTGAGGGGGGCGGCCCTGGCCCCGCCCCGCCACTTGCGGCCACGCGCCGCTCCCGCCCCGGGGAGTGGGCGGGGCCCGCGGGGAGGGGGCGTGTCCCAACATGGCCCCGCCCCTCCCGGGCCGCCCGAGCGCAGGGAGGGGCCGGAGCGGGGCCGCGGGGACGCGACAGCGGCGGGCGGGAGCGTCCAGTGCCCGCGGCTCCGGCGGAACGAGAGCGCTGGCGGCCGCCGGGCGGGGCGGGAGGAGAAGGCACGGGAGGGGACGGGAGAGGGTGCGGGGCCTTCCTTGCGATTTTTTTCTTTCTCCGCCCCCTCCCAGCCGCGCCCCCTTCCCGGACCGCGAGAGGTGAGAAGGGCGGTGGGGGCTCGGCAGCGAGGGGAGGGGGCCGCGGCTGCCGGGAGGGGGAGGAGAAAGCGAGAAGGAGGAGGAGAACGAGGGCTGGCGCCTGCGAGGGGTGGGAGCTGGTTCGCCCTCACCGCCAGCGGACTCCTTCCTGCCGGCCGGCTGCTGTGAGGGGCTGCGGGCGCCGCCCGCGGGGGTCCGATGCCCGGTGTCCGGTGCCCGGTGTCCCATGCCCAGGCTGAGCGGGGCCCGGCGGGAGCCGCGGCGCTCGGCGGGGCAGTGCCGGCGTTCGGCCGAGCGGGGCGGGGCGGGGGCGGCGGGGCGGGACACGGCGCGGGGTCCGGTCCCGCCGAGACGGGCTGCCCCAGTGGCCGGCTCGATTCAAAGCGGTCAGAGCAGACACTGGTAGAAGTGCACTGACACAGCTCTCTGGGATTTAATCCCGTGTCTCTTAACCTTCACCATCACAGTATGAAATAGTGGAAAACAGTTTTTTAAAAAATTTGAGACTGGTCGAACAGATTACAGCAGAGACTGATTGCCAACTCACTACATGAGGAGCGGCGTTACTACACGGGGAACAAAAAGAAGTATAAGTGTTGAACATCAAAAAGCTGCTGATTATATATATTACTGGTTTATGTTTTTCCTTAAAGCGTTTTTGTGGCTTAGGGCTTTGAGCTGGGACTGGTTGAGCTTCGCGAGCAGCGGGGAAGCCCATCTGAAGCCCAGCCGCCCGAGGCTCGTAGTCGGCTGTTCGGGCAGTAATGTCAGAACAGTAAGAAGGGAAGGCTTGGCTTTGTTCCTTTCTTTTACTTAAAAGTTGATTATGAAATTACATCAGGTAAACTCTAAATAGATTCATCTTTTGAAGAAAAAAATTATTGCTCAGGTCTTCTACGAGCATGAACAGGATTAAAAATTTGAACTCATGGTAATGTTGGTGTAGCTCGTCTAGACAAACTCTATGTACTGGATGGGTGGATCCTTTTTAAAAACAGATCACACGATGTATTTTCATGAGTAATTCATCAATTTCGCCAAAAATAATCTGATCATTTCTCATAAAGTTCTTTTTGCCTGGGAATTTCCAGGGGCATATGTGGATTAATTAAAAAAAAAAAAAAGCATCTTGTTCCTGAACTTCATAGGTGCATTCCTGATAGGGCAGATTGTATTCCCGTTTTATGTTTTTTTCCCATTTTCTGCTAGCTGCACAATGCTAGGGAGCATAAAGCACGATAAAACCAAGATAATAATAATAAATAATAGCCCTAATCTGAGTTAAATACTGTTTCCTCTGCCATGTGTCAACTTCATTGAACCATCCATCCCTCAGTCATGTCCTTTGCATGGGCAGGTCCACTACCAAAGGCAGCATGTTTGCACCATGACAGTAGACTAAAACATTGTGTTTTACAGAAATGTGATAACTGCTGATTTAAAACAGAAAAGAATTTGAGTGAAGATGAAGAAAATCTTCCATTAGATCATTATGGTCAAACAGTAATTGCAGGCTGTTGCTAGACAATTCATGACAATGACAGTTCATACTGGTGGACTTGTTCCAACTCTCTGGACTTTTGTATCACCTGTGCTTTTAAAAATATTATTGTTTGCTTATGTTTATGTCTAGTGGTTTTGTTGATGTAATTCAATGTTTCATGATATGGTAAAGAAGATTACCTAATCAGATGTAATATGACCCAATAATGGAAGTTCCTACAGCTCTTAGGAAATTGTAGTATGATTTTACATTTCCCTTACAAAATACTTTGAGTTTTCTCTTTCCATAGCAATTAAATTGCTTTTCCTTACAGCATTCTTACCAAGTAGAAAAGTGCAGAAGTTACCAACCTGAGTGTATACAGCTTGTTTTTCGTCATAAGAACAGAATCTTTCATTCAAAGTTACCAGCAAGGTAATACTGACCATAGACATGTGTATGTTTTGGCTGCATGGCCTTAAAAACAGTCATGTGGGAGAGAAGAAGTTATGTGCTCCAGATGCA